AAAGAAATGCGGAGGTTTGAGGAAATCGCAGATGTTGCGCCATCCGGTCATTTGGGTCAACTTCTCACCTCTGTATCTCCCTCCCAGTAAGTACTGATCGGAAATTTTTTTTTTGTTTTTAGTACCTTCACAAAAATATACTTCTTTAGTTATGTAAGAAATTTTTTTTTTTTTTTTTTTTTCAAAATTTCTTGGACACTGGCGGCACACTTCTGATTTTGGCCTTGGACCTGAAAGGGTTAACCTTTGGAGGTTTCGACGTACTAGTACGGCTTACGGCGCAGAGGTTTTTGACGTTCTAGTACGCATAAATTCTAGAGCCGTCAAATCTAACGGGAAAAGGCTGGTAGGCCTAGATGTGAGAGAATGGGTCTGTGTGGTCGGTGTGCACGGTAGAAAAAAAATCTGGGACCCAGTGGTGCTTGTGGAACGCCATCTTAGTAAACAATGTCCACCATGCCTCGCGGTAAGAAGCTCCTCACTCCTCGGCGAATTGGGACACTTTTGTTCCCCAGTGACAGTTCTAATACAGATGGAAGTGCCAGTGAAGATGAGTTTCAAGGTTTTGGTGAGGTTTTGACTGAAACTAATGATCATAATATCGGTAATAGTGAGGAAAACCCAGATGACCCTCAGCCTTCCACCTCTGGTGCTGGGCCGTCTTGTTCACGTTCAGTTGTACCAGAATCCAAGAGGAAACTTCTATTTTCCCAAATCCCAGACTCAGATGAGAGCATGTGTGATGATAGTGATAGTGAATATGAACTACAAGCTCTTCAAACTAGTTCCAGTAGTGATAGTGAAGTGCAATATTCCCCAGTGAAGCGTCAGTATATACGACGATATATGCGCTCTGGTAGTGTGCCATATGCTATTCCAAGGGGAAGGAGTGCATCTCGGAGTACATCCCGTGGCTGTACAACAGGAACAGACAGTGAAAATGACGATGATACTGTTGCAATTGGGATGGAAAATGTGGGTGGTGGTAGTGGTGCTGGCGGTGAGGCACCAGCAGTGGGCCATGCTGCCACCCACGCTGCTGCCTCAGCTGATCTACAACAATGGCCACCATCTCCAACCCACCCACCACACCAGCCTCCACAACCACAACCTCCACAACCACAACCACCTGTCATTGCCCAGTATCCACCAGCAGACCGCACCTGGGATTGGCAGGAAGCTGTCAATTTTGTTCCAAATGCCTACCAGTTTGATGACAGCCAAAGTGGAATACGGCCATCTTGTACACTTGGGAACAATGCCACTGAACTGGAATGTTTCGAGTTATTCTTTGACGAACCCCTGATGGAAAGTATTGTCATGGAAAGCAACACATACTATGAGTACACCATGGAAAACACATTACTTTCACCAAAATCACGTCTACACCAGTGGAAGGAGGCAACTGTGGCTGAGATGTATCTTTTCTTTGCCACAATAATGCTTATGCCACACGTGTATAAGCACAAAGTGAAATCATACTGGTCAACAGCCCCGCCTGATTGTAACCCCAGGTTTCAGTGATATAATGCCAGTGAATCGATTTGTGCTAATGTTACGTATTCTTCACTTCTCAGACAAAACCAGGCCTGACAGAACTGACAGGTTATATAAGATTAGGAATGTGTTTGTGTATCTGAAGAGAAATTCAGTACGCATTTTTATCCCTTCGGGAAGCTTGTAATTGACGAGTCTTTGATTCTGTTCAAAGGAAGACTCTTTTTCAAGCAGTACATACCAAGCAAGAGGAAACGCTTTGGTATAAAGTTGTTTGTGCTTTGTGATTGTTACAGTGGTCTGGTATTGAATATTATTGTGTACACTGGAAGTTATACATTGCAAAATACCAGGAAGTTATTGGGCATCTCAGGTGATGTGGTTAGAACAATGATAGAACCATACCTTGGAAAGGGGCATATATTATATACAGATAACTGGTACACAAGCCCCTCACTCAGTGATTTTTTGCGAGTGAACATGACAGATGTGTGTGGCACATTGCGTGCAAATCGGAAACATATGCCCAGGTTTGACGCTGGCACTCGTAGAGGTGAGGTGCAGGCGTTTGCTGCCAATGACATCATGGCATTTCGGTGGCATGACAAACGAGATGTCACACTGTTGTCATCTGTTCACCCTAATGAAATGGCAGACACTGGCAGGCAGCATAGAGAGAGCAATGAACCCATTCTAAACCCTGCAGCTGTGTTTGATTACACCTTCAACATGCATTCAGTGGACAAATGTGACATGCAGATTGGGTTTGCTGATTGTGTTCGCAAGAGTTATAAGTGGTACATCAAACTGTTTTTCCATCTTCTGGACATTTCCATGCTCAATGCTTATAATATGTATAAGATGAGGACCAGAAACAAACCACAGTACGGCGAATTCTGTTTGTCTGTCATCAGACAAATAGTATTCAAGTACCAAGGAACAGCACCTGCAACTGACCGCCCACCAAATTATCAACAACTACCTGCTCGTCTGAAGCATGGTGATCACTTCCTGGTAAAACTGTCTGCTACTGCTTTCAAGAAAAAGGCTCAGAAGAGGTGTTACGTCTGTGCACATACAAAAAAAACGCCCACAACAACGCAGAGACACTCGTTTTATGTGTGAGGAGTGTAAAACACCACTGTGCATGACACCATGTTTCAAAGAGTTCCAGAGGCTGCAGAACTTCTAAAAACATTCCCTGTGACTGTATATGTGTATATAAAATATAGAAAAATAGTAATAAACAACATTTCATATCGTTTGTTTGTGTAAATATTTTCTATAAACAAAATAATGACACAGTGTTTACGCCCTTATTGTGTAGTATTGAAAAAGAAATAACTTACAAAATAATGTTGGCCTCAGAGGCCATAAAAGTTACTCAGAAAAAGAAAAATTGAAAAATAATTGAAAATAGTACATAAAAAAGTAAACAGAAAAATACCGGGTGACGGCAGTTGGCGATGTTACCAGATGTTGTTAAATTTTGGCAAACTTCACGCCTCCATATCTCGGTAAGTATTGACGGTAAAAATTTTTTGTTTAGCCTATAATGTTTAGAAAAAAAAAAACTATTTTTTTTATAAGAAAAAAATTTTTTTTTTTTTTTTTAATTTGGCCAACCCTGAGAACGAGTTTCTGAGAGGGCCTATCGACCCTCAAAGGGTTAAACACAAGTTTATTTCAGTCTCTCTCAAGATACCCTGTTAAATGCCCTTATCTTTACTTTATAATTTCTAACTAAGATACTTTAAGCAAACAGGGATCACTTAAACTGCAGTAGACCGTTATTTAGCATGAGTTTATCTGGCACAATTTGAGTATAGCATGACTGAAGAATTGCGACACATTTTTATGTAACACGTCGTATGATCAATTTAACACGATTCATGGGACGAGAAAAATTATGAGCGCACGTTCGCCCGGTTGCCCGCGGTAGGTTATTCCACTGAGTCAATGGGGGAGGCCTACTACCATCCCCCCTGCCACCCACCCCCACCATGCTCCCAGCCTCCAGTTTGGTTCATACGCGTGCAGGACGGACGTACTCGGGAATCTAGCTGTGTTTATATACATACATATTTTCTTAATTTCATTGCCATTTGTTAAATTTGCCAAGAAATAATGGTACCCAGTAAGCATACAAGTGTTGCTGAAAGTGACAAGAAAAGGTTTGAGCATTCAAGTCTAGGAATTGCGAAGAAAACTGAGATATTAGACAAGCTTAAGAGTGGATCACGTGTGGTGGATATAGTGAGGGCCTATGGCCTTAAAGTTATTGTCTTCTGTGGTTAATTTTTTCACTGGTTTCCCCTTGCTTGAGAGTCAGGTTCAGGAAATTGTTCAGCTGGCAAGAGATTACCAGGTGATGGTTTTGAAGATATGAATGAAGATGATGTGAATGAGCCTCTTAGAAGGTGATGATGATGAAGATAGGAGTCCAGAGGAAATGTTAGAAGAGCTCGATGCACAGATACAAGGGAGGGACATAATAGATGATGCAGAAGAACCTGAAGAAAAACAGTTCATATTGCAGCAGTTATGTGAGCAGTTCCATATTATTGGTAAAGTTGCAGACTTTTTCACTGAAGAGGACCCTGACAAATCTAGAAACAGTGCTTTGAAACGGCGTCAAGACCAGCTGATGATGCCTTACCGTTAGCTGTATAATGTATTGCAGGGTAAATCAGCCCAGAGAAACATTACAGAATTTATGCACACTCCAATAAAACCATCGACTACAGTACCAGAACCTCTACCATCCACTTCTGTCGACAACAAACAACCATCCACCTCAGCCCAGTAGGGCCACACCATCCATATCCACTCTCTCCACAATCATCCATACACACAATTACCCGCAATTTAAGGTAAGAAATACTATTATTTCTATTGCATTTGTAGTCTTAAGCAGTAACATATCACGACAATGAACTACAATTACATGTTCATTTTTATTTTTGTAAGATCTGTTGGTCTAAAAAAAAGTTGTTTGGCGTTTTGGGGGCTCTCCGGAACCTAACCCTATTTTCCCCATAAGTGCTTCAGTTCATATAGCACGATTTTACCTAACACGACATTTTCAGGAACGTAACTACCGTGCTAAATAACGGTCTACTGCATATCTACACACTTCTGGCAAGACAGATATTATGGAAATGACAAAGTATTCACTTTTTCAAAGGTATGCCACCTTATTGGGAAAACTGCTCATTTTGTTAAAAAAAAAAAAAAAAAAAAAAAAAAACTGAATAGTATTTGCACTGTAGCTGAACTGTTTTGCAAGATGTTTTCATAAATTTTATCTGCTAACATTTACATATGAAATACTGATCAACTAACACATTTTTGCAGTACAAAGCTCCTATTAAAATAATTAAAAAACAAAATTCTGCAAAAAGGGGTTCTTAGGGGTGAAAACAAATAAGTAGAATACCATATGATTTGAAAATATTTATCAAACTCAAAATGTTTCTACAAATTTTCACGAGAAAAACCTTTTAAAATGACCAAGCAGAGGCACAAAACATAAAAAAGATGGAGTACCTCATGCAAATAAAAATTGGAATTGTGCAGGTTTTTGCCTTGTAACTCCAGGGGGCACAAATGCTAATACAGTATGGATTAACACACAAAAAAAAATACGCTATCTGATCATAAGGAAAACGTGTGTAGCACCTACTACTTAAAATGCTTATATTGCCAGGTCTGGAGAAGAGGGAAGTATGAGAGTTCTTTGAAGTGGCATTCGTTGATAGCGGCCTTTGCAACTCTTGCAGTGTGTGCTGGGGCACTGTCATGCGGAAACAATGGAATCGCTATAATTATTTCATGGCAATAATCTCTGATTGGCTTATGTGGTCAATAGACCAGGTCTGCATTGTACTGACCTGATTATCTCCTTGTTTCATGAGGAATGTACTTAATTAACCCCACACATTTAGCATTCCTAATTATAGAGAGGACTACTATTCTCTGACTTATTAATTATATTGTTTAGAACCTGGGGATTTCCATCACACTGACAGCTATTTTAACTCAAGATCGTAATGTTATATCTAGATGATGTTTCTAGTGAATAATCCTCTGTATGTACAGTACATCTCCCGGTAAGACAATATCAGTTGAAGACTAAGGTTGGAAATCACCAGACCATCACATTCTTATTACACGTCATCATCATGAGCACCCAGCATGCACAGATCGAGCTCATTTCATAAGCACTGTGCACTATTGTTTAATTATTAGCTAAATGCAAAATAAAAACAGGCTTATAGAAGCATGCATTACACTGCCTTTATTCAATGCAGCAAAAAGGTGACCTCAATATGAGCCATCTCCAAGATTTGCTTTCAAAAGGAAATTCTTTTATCTACTGTATAACCTTTAATAATGCTTTATCACCATACACTTTCAATGCCTAACAGTAAGTTTTGATCAAAAATTTCTCCTGACAAAAATTTGGTCACAGCAAAAAAATATAATTTTCACATTTTTGCAAATTGCACATGGAAGGGATACCTCACAGCTACATGGCAGAGGCATCCTCACACCCCAATAACCTCTTCACTAGTAACAACACATTATTTCTTACTGTCAGCCATACTTTGGTCCTCTCTATCACTAGTCAAAGTTATGCCCATCTAAAGCCTCTTAAATCCCATAAGTCATTGTTGTCAAAACAGTAATAAAGGAAATTTTAATTAACCCTTAAACTGTCCAAACATACGTTCACGTGCGTAGCGCTCCGATCTTGATTTTCCCCATTTGAAAGAATGTAAAAAAAAAAAAAAAACGTAGATCTATGTTCGGAGCCTGCCACACATCAACGTATATCTACGTTTGGACAGTTTAAGGGTTAATGCTCATCAATAAATATTACAGGGAGGGGTATGGAAATAAGTTGTATGGTTTGTGAGTTGTGTGTAACAGTAAGTGTAGGTGCATGGGAGTGAGATGTAGGTGTGTAAGTTGAGAATTATCAAAGTAGGTGAGAAAGAGTATTCATCAATGGTCAAACTTGAATGTTTCTCATGGAAAAAATACTGAGAGGCATCAGCCTTAAAAGAGATGTGAAAAGGACAAGTTACCCCCATTAGGTGTAGTACAAGTGAAGCTGATGGGCACCAGCAGAGCATCCACCTTCCTATGGAGAGCCACCAGGAGTATTGTATTCAAGCTGTTTCAACTAGTCACTTACAGAGAGCTATTGGACAACTGCTGTGGCATAATAAGACCTAAACCCAAACTTTACACTGCTTATGTGGGGTGTGAGAGGGAGGAGGGAGATAATCTGTAAAGGGTGTGGAAGTGCATCTGGAAGGAGTGTGGAAGTGTGTTTGGAAGGGGTGTGGAAGTGTGGTTGGAAGGGTGTGGAAGTGTGGTTGGAAGGGGTGTGGAAGTGTATTTGGAAGGGGTGTGGAAGTGTAGTGGGAAGGGGTGTGGAAGTGCATTTGGAGAGGTGTGGAAGTGTATTTGGAAGGGGTGTGGAAGTGTTTTTGGAAGGGGTGTAGAAGTGTTTGAAAGAGGTGTGGAGGTGTGTTTGTAGGTGTGTTTTAAGAGTGTGGGAGAAAATAAATGTTAGATTCAAAAGACAGAACTCTAAATAACTCTCAGATTCAAAGTCTAAGCTCAAACATTACAGCATAATTGAGATAGCAGGGTCAGGAACTTAAGGTGATTTCAACTCTCAATTACCTTCACCAGGCTTAAGAATTTAAGTTAACAGATTGTGACACCCTTCACATAGGAGCTGGAACTGACAATCTCAACATCTTTAATATTTAAAAAAAAAAACATGAAATTTTAGCACACAAACTGTAATGGTAGGTGACCATATGAGCAAACTGTTTATGAGGGAGCATTGATTTCATGCCAGACTCATGGTTAACTCATCGGGGTATGGGAATGTACTAGTCTCAATAAACCTAAATTAAGCTTACTTTTCTAAAATTACAGAGTATTAGATTTCTGTTAATATCCCCCCAAAAAACTTTACCAAACTGATTCAAAATTTATGTAACAGGACCTAAATAGAATGACTTGGAGAGCGTATAAATCTGTACTGGAAGGAAGGCGAGGTAGGGATTGACCTAAGAAAGGTTGAAAGGAGGGAGGGGGTAAAGGAGGTTTTGTGTGTGAGGGGGCTTGGACTTCCGGCAGGCATGCTTGAGCGTATCAAATAGAAGTGGGTGGAGACAAATGATTTTTATGACTTGATGTGCTGTTGGAGTGTGAGCAGGGTTAACATTTACAAAGGGATTCAGGGAAACCGACAGGCCAGAATTGAGTCCTGGAGGTGGGAAGTACAGTGTCTGTACTCTGAAGGAGGGGTGTTGATGTTGCAGTTTTTTAAGTGTAGTGTAGGTGTGCCTCTCTGAAGAGTGATGGAGTGAATGATGATGAAAGTGTTTCTTCTTTTTTGGGTCAATCTCCCTTGGTGGGAAACAGCCGATGTGTTAATAATAATAATAAAAAAAAAATAAATAAAGCCTGTTTGATAGCCAGTGTAAGTTCTCAGCATTTTTTTAATCCCTCTTAACCATTATGAACATTTTTGTCCAATCAGTTTCTCACTTTCCACTGATCAATGTTCATGACATTCCAAACAAAGTTCTTTTTTTTTTTTTTTTTTAACAAACTGGCCGTCTCTCACCAAGGAAGGAGGACCCGAAAAAGAAACACTTTCACCATCATTCACTCCATCACTGTCTTGCCAGAAGAGCACCAATACTACAGTTCAGATGCCCCTCTAAACTGAAAATATCTCCACCCCTCCTTCAGAGTGTAGGCATTGTACCTTCGACCTATATGTGTGATTTGTCTGGCTTCGCTAAGTGTTTCTAGATTTCTAGAGCTCAAAATTTCAGAGAGGGTTTTCTAGGCCTTTTCCATATCCCCTTTTATTTCATTAAGTCTATTTGCATAATACATTTGTTTAGACTTCCATATTAGATTAGTAAGTATTGATGTGTATCATTTTGTCAGTTCTTTTGTTATTAGGCCCATTCTGAATTGTTTATCATACAGATGTTTTTTATCAATGGATTTAACTCTTTGACTGTTTCAGTCGTATATATACGTCTTACGAGCCACCGTGTTTGAGTATATATACTCAAAAATTCTAGCAGCTTCAAATCAAGCAGGAGAAAGCTGGTAGGCCCACATGCAAGAGAATGGGTCTGTGTGGTCAGTGTGCACCATATAAAAAAAATCCTGCAGCACGCAGTGCATAATGAGAAAAAAAAAACTTTGTTTTTGGATTAAAGTGCCAATTTTGTGGTGTATTTTCATATAGTATTTATGGTTGTAGTCTCGTTTTCTTGGTCTCATTTGATAGAATGGAAAACATATTATAGAAATAGAGGTGATTTTGACTGGTTTTACTATGAAAAGAACCTTGAAATGGAGCTCAAAATAGGGGAAATGTTTGATTTCTGCCGATGTTCAAAAGTAAACAAATGATGTCATTGTCCAATGTCCAACTAGCAATTCTAATATGCAGTCATGAATGGGTTGACATTATTTATATAATTATTACAATATTGCAGTAGTTTGCGTAACAGTAAATCTTCTATTTTTTGTTTGAATAAAAATTCAAAATAGAAAGCAAGAGTAATATCAGAGGGGCCTGGAGACGTGACTGATGAACAAAGAAAATGTTATTTTAGAGCCAGGAATGTCTGCACTGTTCATTCTGGACCCTATTTTGAAGTTGGCATATTTTTTAATTTGTGTGAAATTGGCCAAATTGCTAATTTCTGACAATGTTATTGGGTAGTTGAAATCAGAAAATGGGCAGCTTCTTGTATTCAATCGATAGAACAAATGGAGTTCTAAAGAAATAGCTACAAGTTTGGTTGACTGTAACAATGGAATTAGCCGAAAATAGGACTCAAAGTGGGCGAAATCGCTGATTCGTAAATATCGCCGAGGTTGCTAACTTCACGAGAGCGTAATTCCATAAGTTTTCAATCAATTTCGTTTCTTTGGTGTCATTGCCATCAGGAAAAGATTTTCTATCATTTCATAAGAATTTTTTTTTTTTTTTTTTCAAAAAATTTTCGACACCAGGAGACACTTCAGGATTTGGGGTTGCGACAGTCAAAAGGTTAAGGATACTATTTGTAAGCCATGGACTGTTTAGTCTCTTTGCTGAGATCTGCTTTGTTTTAATTAGACAATGTCTATTACAGAGGTTTTGGATTTTATGTAAAAAAATTTGGAAACATTCATCAATATCGTGGCTGTCTGCTAGCTTACCCAGCCAGTCAGTGTTATGTACAGCAGAAATAAAATTATTTACTGATGACTTATCATTTAGTCAAAAAGAAATCTTAGTATTGTCCTGAGGCAATCTTGGTTATCAGAAATGTGTAGTGGTCTGCAGTGTCGTCTGTGAATATCCCTGCTTTTAATGGGGATATAGTATTGGTCCAGAGATGGTCAAGTAATGAGTAATGAGACACTTGTCTCTGATTTTTGTTGGTTTAGTTATAGATGGTAGTAGCAAGCAGTTGTTCATAGTGTTCATGAAATCAGCTACTTGGGGATCTGCTGCTTGGATGAGGTTTATATTAAAGTCACCAGCAAGTAACAGGTGGTGTTTCCTCATCTCTGAGTCAGTTATCATGTTTCTTAAGTTGTCACTAAATGTGTAAATATTTGTGTGAGGCAATCTGTAGACTGCTCCAACTTTTTTTTTTTTTTTTAGGTTTTTGGATGAGAATTTAGCAAATATATATTCACCATGGCAAAGTGAAACAGAATTCTTCCTCAATGAGCCATGTGTGT